CGACACGCACTTCTAACATAATATACAAGCATTACATATAACACAATATACAAATTACTGAAAATTATGTAAGAAACACAAGCTAATCACGTAGAATGTTTTAAAACCAACTGAAAATAGCTGCAAACGATTTCAGTCGGCAACCATCGTGCTTGTATTGGTTTTTGGAGCACGTGACAAAAACAATCAATTTCACAACAAAAAGTGCTTTTATTTATCGTTACAACACCAATGCTGTGGGCCGGGATAGTTTGGTTGATAGGGCGTTGGGCTCATGTCAAAGAGGTCGTGAGTTCGATTTCCGCAGGTCGAAGGCTCCCCGTGTAGTAAATGGTGGCTAGTGTACTTTAAATCTGTCGGGTCACAAAGTCCTCCAAGTTCCCATAACAAATCAATACCTCTGGGGGTACTAAATTGGAGATTGCTCTTTTTGTGGTTCATGTCAAAATTACTATCTGTGGATGATAGGTAGGTAGGTACTTTATTTACGTCGCACTAGCGCTGCACAATGGGCTATTGGCGTCGGCCTGGGAAACATCCCTCAGTATGATCCGATGACACGCCATCGCAATTTTGATCCTCTGCAGAGAGAATGCCTCCATTTGCTTTGATTGTCCGTGCGATTTGCGTGCGAAGTCGAGCACTTTACGGTAGAACAGTTTAACGAGGATCTGTGGATGAATCTATCCGATCTGTGGATGAATAAATGGATGTATGAATGGGTCAGCCCTCCAACCCGGACTGTGACGTGTGTGACTGAAATCGTATTCTTGGCCCACGATGACGCCATTGAAAAACAAGAAATACACCCCCTGCCTTAAATTCACTTGGTTTTACCAAGCAGGCTTGCAAGTAGAATTAGAAACAAAAACACAGATGTAGTAAAAAAAAAATAGCATCAAAAGTTGGTGAAAAAATTACAGCAATTTATTACAATGCAGCAAAAATTTCTTTCCGTGAGAACATGAGGAACCCATAAGTCGAACTTTGAGATAAGACCTAAGTAGAACCTAAACCTAAATTACTATGAACAGTACCGAATTCGATAAATTTAAAATCTCAACGATCGGTTTGCATCAATCAATGTCTTTATTACGTCTATATCAGCTTCAACTGGCCTTCCAGAAAGTGATGCTTCTTCAACATCAAATTTGCTGAATTGTAAATTTGAAAACCAGTTTTTGGTACTAGCGTATTATCAATACATCGTCTCTAGACCATTCGGATTTTTTTTTTTTTTCCTACCTGAATAATATTTTCACCTTTTCGATAGTAAAAATAAAGTAAAATTATAATTCCGATAACCTAACAGATTTTTTAAGTAACTATTACTCTGTTTTTTATAATTAAAAAATACCAAACTATATTGTTACTCGTAATTAGAACGTCAGGAAAAAAAATTAGATAAGAGACATAAATGTCCCATCTGCTTTTTTTAGCATTAAATCAATTTTTTTCCCTGCGGCTCAGACTCACATTATTAAAATTTCGGTGGGAGAATACGCTTCGTACAACGGTACTCGTGGCCCTGAAGGAGATTTCGTTGTAAGCGCGTGCAGCAGTTAATGTATTAAAATGTGCATTGGATATTCATGACTTCTCATATCAAATATAAAGTGGGTTTTCTACAATTTCAAAACAAAAACACAGTCTTAACATTTACATTAAAACTTAATTTTTTGATTAAAGTCTTAGTTCAATTAAAAGATATTAGATTGAAAATCCAAATTTTTTAGATTATTCAAACTAATTATTTTAAACTGTTACAACTCACAAATATCAGGAAACTCACAAATCAAAAATATCAGGAATCTCACAAATCAGAAATATTATTACAAAAAGCTGAAAATAAAGGACCAAATATAACCTATCAGGAAAATCAATAATTTCAGGATTACTACAAGCCGGGATTAGCAAAAGTCATTAGTTTCAACAACAAAAAAAAAAACGGATTTATTTAGTTTAACTTAGATTTTTTCTAGAATATTTACTCGCCAAATTATCCAACATAATGTAATACTAGCACATAATATTATTTAGAAATAATAATGTAACTAAAACAACGCATATTTCTAACTAAAATGTTTAAAACAAATTTAATCTAATTATTACAAAGTAACCATTGAAAAAATAAAGCCATAATTATCTTCATGCAAGCTAAAAATCCTAAAAATTTCAAAGACAGATTAGTCAGTTAAATATCCAATGAATAGTAAACTAGTTGAGATTAGAATACATTAAAGAAAAAAAGTATTATTCTTATATTATTCAAGTATTTCTTTATTATTGATATACAAAAATTACTTATTAAATAAATTTTAATAGTACTTGCATTAAAATAAACAAAAAAACTTAGATGGGTTTAATTCAAATATGTTCACTAAAGGCAAATTATTTTACATGGTTATTGAGAAAATATAATTTTAAAAATCTCAAGCCATGTTTAGCCTCTAATTTTATTTATTTATTAATCTATTTTGAAATTTTATTTATTTATTAATCTATTTCGTAATTTTATTTATTTATTAATCTATTTTAAAATTTAACAATTTATATACATTTTCTTCATACTTCTTTGGATAAAACCTTCATTATTAATGAAATGCTGTTGTTGCTTGCAGTTTTTGAGAGGAAAGCCTGGAGAAAAATTTTTGGTGCTATAAATGTGGGTAGCTAATGGACATAACATAATTTTGAGCATTATAGGATATCCAAGAAAGCTGATATCTTCAAATACATCAAAATAATTGGCTTAAAGTTTGAAGGTCAGAAGACCTTCTTAGACGATCTTCAATTACAAGCCAATGGGAACTTTGAGATAAGCCTAAGATCAGATGGGTTAGCCTAAGACTGTGTGGAAGAGGATTTTAAAATCCTAAGAATTACTAAATGGAGAACAATCGCAAAGAAAAGAGTAGAATGGAAGAAGATTCTAGGAAAGACTCTGGCCCACAAAGGGCTGTCATGCCAATAGAAGTATCAATGAAATCAAATTTCACACGCCCAAAAGATAAAAGAATATATTCATAAATAAATAATGTGTACAAATATTTTTGATCAATTTTTGCTGTTTTTTGATCTAACTCTTTTCTAGACCTGATCATTTACCCACTTCCGTTACCAGCTATATTATGTTCCTAATCCAAATGACAGTGGGATCAGTCACTAACCATTAGAGTAGGGATCAGTGGGTGTGGTTGCAGTGAAGCAATATAAAAGCATATTTAAAGTATTCATTTTTTTTATTATTATGCTAAGGGAGAAAAATATTTTTTTATTTTTTAATTGTTATTGAAAATATTAGTTAATTGTTAAATGGAATAGTTAAACACTCTAAAACGCTTTGGAATGGTTTAGTTAATTTCAATTAAGGGCTTAAAATATTTTTAAAAAAAAAGAAGTTTTTTTTCTTCTTTAAAAAAAAACGGCTTAGTTATAACTCTGTTCTTAAAAGCACAATATCTATCGCTAAATAGAGTTTATCGTCAATCACAATTTCAATCAATTTTCGCCTTACTATATCAACATTGCTAAAATTTTAACTGCAGCTTTAATAGTGCCAGCATAAATAACAATTTTTTCTTTTGATTTGATACTTCACTTTATACTTACAGTACCACTCACTGTATTTAGAAGCTTATTATCTACCATTTACAACAAAAATAGTTTTTGTTGTAATTAGTTCTAATGCACAATTATTATTTTAGAAAAACTGAAACTGTGAAAAAAATCAATCAGGCATATTTTTAAATTTTTATTTTAAAAAACTATAATGCAACACAAATATATATATATTTATACATACAGATATATATTTATCATACATACAGATATAAATTTATAATCAATAACAAACTCTTGATTACAAGTGATTGATGAATTTACACGATGAGAATATATACAAAAACTTTGGCATACACAGTGGATGAATCAGTAGAAGTTTTGATTATATAGTTTTCATTCTGAAAAAGAAACACCTAAATTATTCACAAATTAATTCATCAAAACAAGTAAAACATATTTGAGGTTATTCCATAATTAATAACCCTAAATATATATTTTTAAAAATATTTCTTATCAAAAGCTAAGCAAAATAAAGATATAAATTAGAATTCACAAATAAATATTTAAGTCAGGAAAAAAATAAGAAAACTACTGAAAACTGACGAATCACTATTGAGGAAAGTGCGATTGAAAACCTCAAAATCAGCTGGATAGCTGAAGGAAAGCAGGAGGAACTGAAAGGTGATAATCAGAACTGGCAATCTAACAGATTTACATAGTGGAAGCTAATATAGTGAATGTGATATTTGTAATTAAATTATCATTTGAATTGAAGGATTGTTTTAAATTATAATGCTTTAAATTTATAAAAATAGAGAATTAAACAGATAATTTAAAAAATCACTCTTAGACTTTTTTGGTCAGATTGTTTTATACGCTTTTTCTGCCTTCTGAAGAAAAAAAGTCTATTAACAAACCGTTTATATAACAGCAACCATACGCTGCATTTAATTTGAGATGTGTAGAATATGGTTAAACACACACAAAAAAGTTCTGGGGGAATTCAGGCAGCCCAAAGAAAAATTTTTGTAGAATTAAAGTAAAATTGTTCCAAATTTTTTTGTGTCGCCTTGCAGAACTTTTCTCTGTAATGAGAGGGGGGGAAAAACTATGGGAAATTCTTCCACCAGAAAAAAAAATCTTACAAGAACGAAGGAATGTCTCGATGTAAGGAGGTGATGTGCATTTTCTGTTATGCAAATAACTTTACATAGCTACCAACATGGGTAGGAAAAAATCCAGTGGATTTTAAGAAGAATTATAAATTTTAAGATAATTGTTGCGTAATGTACTAAATATTTTACACATAGGGAATTTTAGGGATTTTTATATCACAGATTATCTCTGAGAATTATCTACACCCCTGTATTGTTCACGCTTGCTTAAAAAAATATATTTTAAGCAAATAAATATAGCAATACTGAAATTATTCATACCATGATTTACAAGGGACTATCTGCCATTTAAATCCATAGGAACCACAGGACGATTAGGAACTTGAAAAGGTTGGACATTCATGATAGGAGGATTCATCGGATGTTGAAACATGTTCTGACTTGCAAGCATATAGTTTGGTATGTTTATGATTTGGGAAGATTGATTAGGATTCACCTGAAACATACAAACATTCAAAATTAAATGAAAGTTTTCAAAAGAATAATTATCTAAGCATAGGCCATCTTTAAAACATGGGTACTATAAATGAGTGATATGGATAATTTAAAAATAAGTGATGTTATACTAATAACAAACTAAATAAGTAATGTGTGTGTATATATATATATATATACATACA